AAACTTGTGCTTGAGCATGGTTGTTTGGTAGATCGTTGTTGTTTTGAGAAAGGGAAAGATCGTCCCTGGAAGCGCTGGTGGTTTGTGAGTAACTCATCAGGTTTTATCTGGGATTTATCTTCTTCTCAGTGCGATGGATCGCACCAACACCACAAGCAACCCTTGGTAGCTTCAGGACTTTACCCAGCAGCGCTAGGTGAAGCGCTGCTGTCGAAGGCGCTAAAGGCGCTTAAAGAAGAAAAAGCCGGCGCAAGCGTGCAAAGGAAGAGGACTCCGCGGGCAGCCAACAAACACAGAGCTGAACACGCCAGCCAGTACCGGCATTGGCCGGACGCGGACGCGGCCATTGCAGGAGGCATGAAAGGCCTCTATGCGGCCATCCGGACGTCTGAAACCACCCTGCTCAGGCCGTATAGGGACCTGCCCCTTGAGGTCAGGCCTCATGCTAGAAGGGCCGCCTGGATAGGGTTGTGGCAGCCCAACAGCGAGCCGGACCCCTCTCAGGAAGCCACCCTTCTGCAGCTCAAGCACCAGGCCATAGCGCAGTTCCAGCAAGTTGGCCCAGTGACGACAGGAAGTCGTTGGGGTCCTCAAAAGCATGGCAACTAAAGCACCAGGCCTGGACGGTCTCACCGCGCCTATGCTTAAGAAGGCCTCCCCGGCTGGTGGATCACATCAGCAGTTGGGAGGCTGAGGGTACCATGCCCGGCCCTGTTCTCACCACGGGAGTAGCTAGGTTGCCCAAGAAGCCGGAGCGTGAGCGGCCTATCGGCCTAACCTCGTTTGGCTACAGAATATGGGCCAGAGCTCGCTGGCCGCTTTACGAGAGTTGGGCTCAGCAATACGCGCCCACTGCCCCGTAGGATGGTGCCAGGAAGGGCATGACTTCTCTTGACATCGCCCTGGCCCGTCTGGTTCGAGGAGAAATCCAGCACCACCTTCGCAAGTAGGGGGTGGCCTTACTCCTGGACTTGCGGGAATTTTATGAGCACGTGGGGCTGCTGAAGTTGGTTCTCTCGGCCCAGTCTCATGATTTTCCGCCCCTTATCTTGCATCACTGCATCTCGCTGTACACCCATTCGAGGTATATATGTACCGAGGAGGCCTTGGCTCCTCCGGTTACCCCAACGAGGGGCATCATTGCAGGATGTCCTTACGCCCCGGGGTTGTCGAAACTAGTTATGCACCCGGTTATGGCGGCGCTCTATGCGAACCCAAGCCTGGGGCATTGTGATCTTTACATCGACGACTCCAGTTTCGACATGGAAGACAACTCTGTCGCCACGGTGGTGCACAAATCGCTGGAAGTGTGGAGGCATGTCAAGCAAGCCTTCAAAGAGCAGAACCTCCCGATCTCCAAGTAAGTCGGCTTGGGTTTGTTCCAGCTGGGCTGTGGAGAAACAGCTGGTTGAAGGTGAGCAGACTGTTTTTCGGGCTGCTCCCAGCACACCAAAGGAGAAGTAGACATCACCACGGATGCTAAAAGTGTCAAAACCAGAGTGGAACGTCGCACTCTGGGTAAGAGCTCTCTGGACCTGGTTATACCCATCCGTGAACACGGTGACCGCCTTCACCTTCATTGGGTTCGCAGCCATCAGACGCTGGAGAACCATTGCAAGGAGTTTGGCACCCTCTCCAAGTGGCGGTGGCTGGCCAATGCAGAAGCGGACAAATTCCAGGCCAGAGACCTCGAGTGGGAAGAGCAGCTCAAATCAAAGGAAAAGGCCAACAAGTTGGTTCTCCACTTCCTGGCAGAGCGCACAGCACTCCTCTTCTCCTATGACAAGGATCAAGGACCTCAGGTTCAGTTTGAGGGCGAGGTTGCTAGCCCCTCCAAGCAGGCCAGGCCAGCGGGGCTAAACCGAAAAGGTAAGCTGCCGCCTAAGAGTAAGGAAGTGCTTTCCGGTGAAGCCGCTAAGCCGACTGGCCCAACAAACGTGATCTCTTAAGGGATGCGGTGTCCAACCCGCCCGTGGGACATGTGTGGCAGTGGACTTCGGAGCATCAAAGTGGGGCCCCAAGTGTAAGTTGGGAGCTCAGCAAATCCTCCCCAGCCAACCGTGTCTTGGGCATGGCAGTGCGGAGATCTTTCATAAGGTTCTGGGCGTGCCACAGCTCCCATAACATGGTCCATGAAGGAGTTTTCTGGAGGTGCTCGCGGTGCAGGCGCACCCAGCGTACGGGGGCAGACTCACCTTGTGCAAGCCTGTATGCAAAACAAGCGGGTCAAAGGCAACTGCGGTTTCCATCCCAGCCGGGCCTTCCAGGCCCACTTTGGAGTACAGGCTGCTGGGCGATTCTCAGGGTCTCAACCTGACCCGCCTCCAGAAACGACAGAGCTGACAGAGAGCCAGGGCGAGCTCTTTCGGCCCCGAGCCGTCCAGGCTCAGGCAACAGTGCCAAGGCAGCCTCTCAGGCAGCTGTGGCCCCTGAGCCTCCCTAACCAAAGCGACGTTCAGTGTCCAGTGATCCCAACCAAGCCAAGCTCAGCTTTGGGGCCCTGCCCAAACAGATGGCAAAGCCACCGGAATCTAGCCCCAAACAGACCAAGCTTTGTTTTGGGGCTCGACCTTCTTCCTAGAAGGTCTGGCTAAGAGCCATGGTGTAACCAGGCCAGTAGATCCAGCTCGAAGTACCTGTGGGGAAAAAGCCTAGGGCCTAGGGTCACTCTGGTTCCACCAAGTGCTTCGCCTTGGTTTAGCCAGGCGGTAGACCCAGCTCTAAGTACCTAAAGGGAAAAAGAGTCTGGGGTCACTCTGGTGCTTTGCCAGCTCTAGAAGCTTGGCACTTTCCCCTGAATACCAGGGAAGCGGTGAGGAGGCGCTCAGCTTTTCTTCTTTACCGGTAGTTTAGGCTTAGGCTTGACTCGTTTCACATGGCCTCTGGCCGCACCGCGCGAAGCCCTCGAGTAGAAAGGTAGACCTTCTTTAGGTGCCCTTGGCCCTCTGAAATTGTTTTTCCTTGAACTTGAGCCGCGAACTGTGTTTTGTTGAACCTTGAGTTGTTTTCTTAACTGAACAAACCTTTGGCATGGACTTGGCATGGCATTGACATGTTTTGGCATGTTGTGGCTTGCTTTGAGTTGGCCATGATGAGCATCAGTACGCCAGAGATGCTTTTGAGCATCATTGAAGAAGTGCGTGTTGCTCTGAGCAAGTTTTTGCAGCTCTGCAGCTGTTTCCGCCGACCCTCGCTTCGCTCGTTTCGGGGAAGTTCAGGCTGGAGCAGAGTGGCTGTGCACTTGCCTGTTTGTTTTCAGTTAGCACAGAAGTCCTGAGAAGCATTAGGACAGTTGCATGTGATTCCTCATTTGTTCAGCAAAGTTGAGATGGAATTCACTAGAGTAAATTGCGCAAGACTCCGAGAGACCTTGCTGAACACTTCGGTGTTTGGCTCAAGCGTGGAGTGAAAAGAACTGCTTCGCGTTTTCACATCTGCAGGGCAACATGTTTCTGGTTGCAAGAAAGTTGGCTAAGAAGAACTATTTTCGTTTCAGCCATCGAAGCTACCTTCGAGCGCACTTACAGCATTGCAAGCAAGATTGGAGAGCAGGTGTCGTTCTTGAAAAGGCGCACAGGCATCCTCTCTCTTTGGGAAGTGGTGTTAAACTCCAGGCGAGGATCTACGATTCAAAGACGACGTCTACGATCAATCGACGCTACAACAACAGAGTGCAGATTCAAGCCAAATAGAGGCATTGCATTACTCGGACGATTTCAGGCCCATCTTCTGCCTCAAAGTTTGGAACGCAGACACTACTTCCATCTAGGTCTTCAAACAAGGTGAATCCGTGGCCGAACTGTTGCTTTCGAGGTCCACACTTCGAAGAGCAAATCCATCCATCCATAAGTTTCGCACTTTTGCAAAACGGTTTCGAACTTTTTTCTCGCTTGACTAGCAGCTGAGGCGGTGTGTCCGAAGGGATAGCGTCAAACCCAGCCACAAAGTTGCCCCGAATCCCCTTTTCTATTGCAAGAGGATCAAGGTATTTGGTCTTTGAGACCTTGCACTTGCACAAACACAGCACAGTTGTTTTGTACTCGCTGGGAAAGCGTTCAGCTTGGTGTAATTAAACCGCTCGAGCCAGAAACGACACAAGGTATATCCGAAACTGCACGGTTATGTCATTGCTGAAAGGACACCAGAGGCCTAAGCGCCACTGTTAATGGTTTCATCCCCCCCGCCCTTTCTCGAATTCGAACATAAGCCCCACTTCAGGCCCTTTGTGAAGTCGAACTTCGAGAAGCTTCCATTTTCAAACTCAAGCAAAACGCAAACCGGGTTTTACTGGGCGACGGCTGGCTTGCGATTGCCCAAAGTCCGTAACTAGTAATGACACTTCCGCATTTTAGATCGAGCTGCAGCCATTGTGTGGAAGCAGCACGCCGGCAGCCAGAAGGACCCTGAGGCTGCACACTCGCCAAAGATCAGACCAGGGAGGCAGAGACTCACCGAAAACCGGCCAATGTAACAACGAGAGATCGAATCTTCGTACTGCCTGTCTGTATATGTAGTGAAACCGGGCGGCATGAGCTCAAACTGTATCTGCCAATTGATTTGTCCTTTGTACTGCTAGACAATCGTGACCCGAGGTCTTTTCAGAATCTGATCGCCATTTCAACATTCGGGTCCAAAGGCTTGGCGCCTGGAACAATCGTTGTGGTTGTATTTGGTAGCGTGCCAACATAGCTGCAGAATCACACGAAAACCCGTTGTGTGCAAATGTTTCGTCAGCACCTGGAGGGAGAGCAAGAATGCCACGTGCTATGGCTTGTTGACACTGCATCAGTTATCAGACTAATCGTTTGGCTTGCAAATAGGTGTTGCTTGGTCGCCACAGGAGCCGGTCGGCATGCAGCACGGGTGTGGGCGTTTTCCAGCACAGCATATGGAACAGATGGACAGTTCAAAGATTAGGCGATAATTAGCATGTTCACAATCGGGCTTTCCGGCGAGTGCGATGACCACGTCACCAATTGCCAACTGCGACGTCTTGGGTCATGATCCTCCAATCGGTCATAGCCTGAAGTTGTGCTCGCACAGTTTCTAACATGCAGTGTGGTTTGGAAAGGTTCCGAGTGAAGACTACGACGAGGAGGAAAACGGGCTTGTGTCCAACAGCCCTCGTCCGCCCGCCACAAGGACTTTTGCGATGCCGAGCATGTGTACCGAGCTTTGATGTGCCTTCCTTTGTTGCTTTGCCCAGATCTTTCTGTTACTTCAAGGAAGCTCCCGCTGAAAGCGCGGCGTCGCTTGGCAGCACGCTTGGGATCTGTTGTAACTGAAAATGAGGGAGCGAGAGAGAGAGAGAGAGAGAGAGACTAGAGGCAATGAAGTTGAATGAAGGAGGAGAGAAAGAATTCTGTGAAACAAGGCAAAAGCATGATGACAGGAACAGACAAGGCAAAGCAGTAAAACAATAATGGACACACAATAAAATCCTAAACTCTTAAACCTGAAGGTAAAGCGAGTAGTTTCAGGCTAAGCCATGGTCCAAATCGTTAGCAACAGCAGCACATCTTATATGTTTTGGAACTCATTGGAGAGCCAATGTCTGTCTGGCTTTCTCTCTCTCTCCTTCTACATGTGTACTTCGTGGTCGTATATAGGTCCATTTTATTTATGTGTACATGTACATCGCTATGAACAAATAGATGTGTTGTATACATTCAGCTGCACGCGTATACTGAGCATTTCGTCGAATTGTAACTTTATCCATGCAAGCATGCACGTTGAGCTTCAAAGAGCAAGGTGTATCAGCAGCACAAGTGTAGACAAGGATTAATGGGAAAGAAGTCGAGGCTGTTGCAGTATGGAATATTTCAGTGAACGAGCCGGGTGCACATTCACGAAATTATCATGAAGGCCACCAGCCAGCCTCTTATGTGAAGTCAACAGCAGAGCTGAGGGAAATAAGCTTAACACGCAAGCGCTTCTAGTTGCAAGGCCTTGATTAGCATCCGAGGGAAACAGACGACACTGGTGGAGAATCACCTGCAGCAGCACGGTGTTGAAATGTTGAGCCTTTACCTGGTTGGTTGTGGACTGGCGCCTTGACTCGCAGGGGTTACAGCTGCGGACCACCGAATATCGGAGGAGGACGAGGCCAGTCTCCGCAGTGATGTCTTTGAGGTACTCAGCGATGTCGTAGGCAAGAGAACCTGATGGATCCACGAGTTTTGCAAAGACAGAGACGCCCTGCTGTTTGTTTTCTCTTGAGGCCAGTTGGAAGCTGGTGGCTCTTGGTATTTGTTGCTTCCTCGGAGTGGTCGCAGTGGGCGCGTCGCTGGCCGTGCTGTCCCGAGTGGGGCAAGATGCTGGGGGAACCTTGCAGGGGACCCTTGGCAATGGAGCCACAGGAGTGAAGCCGGTGCTCGCCATCTTTGGCTTCACGATACTTGGGGAGGAAAGCGCAGAACAAGCGCTGCCTACTAACAACGCCGTCGCCTGGGTGGCCGCCAGTCTTCTCAAGGACCACGGCCATCTGTTGCTGTCTCCGTACGCAAAAGGAGAGCCAGCTTTCGCCATGCCCGAGGGGAGTGCTACAAAGGGCTCCTACATCCCGGACGGTGAATTGGTGCAGAGCTGGCGCCCCGCTGGTGCTGGCCGCCTCCTGAGAGCAAAGGCTTCTCGTACGAGCGCACTGAGCCGCTGGACTGCACACAACACAAGTTGTGCTTCTCCCAAACGGTAGATTCGGAAAAGGTGTGATGATGTTAAGCTAACTCTCTGCAGGCCCCAAAAGGTCAGTGGAGCTGCAGAGGTTGTGAACAGATGCGCCTTGTCTGAGGAGCTGTTGTGGTGGGGCCCATCTCGGAGATCCTCCAGGTGCGGCGTGTTGAGCAGGTTGAAGGGCCGCCCAGTAGCGTCATGCATCGTCCCTGCATCCGCAGCTGCAGGCTTGCAGTCTCGAGCTTTGCAGAGCAGAAACCATAGAACAGATCACACTTTGCGGGCTATCGTTGCAGTATCAGTGACAGGTCATTGTGTGCGGTTCAAACATGCTCACTGACATTTGTCGTCTCGATGAAGCAAAGCTGTTAATTTCAGGCGGCTGTGCCTGACGGCAGTCTTCATGTGCTAGAACAGTGGGCTAGGTCCTGTGGTCGTAGAAATCTATCTTGAAGGCCAGTTAAGCTTTCTTTGCAGATGGCAGCTCAAAGCATTGGCGCAGCAATTGAAGGAACGGCGCCGCTTTGCAGCAATGGCACAGCCCAGCAACGAGCTGTCAAAAATGGTTCCATGCAACTTAACGTAACGGTTTGCTCTGACTCTGTTGCTGCTCAGGAAAACCGTCGATGGGAGGGCTGTTCGCGTCCCGCTTGCCAAGAGCAATACTCACGAATATTGGCGCAGGGTGAGGACAGTTGGAACACGTTGCACCGACGGGAAACATGTAAGGATTACGTTGCTCTGGCTACTTGCTAGTTTGCCGCAGGACTTTGTATCGAAGTTCTTTGGTCGCTTGCCAAAAACGTCATTCCCACAAAGCACCCCTTTCTGGAGTCTTTCCAGCAGTTTCGTGGGCTGGACGGAACTTGTTGCCAAGGCAGTGATTTTGGGGAATATCCTCGAATGGTATGACTGGACGGTCTTCGGATACATGCAGGACATCCTCAAAGAAGTCTTTGCCGACGGCAGCGGAGATCAGGCATTGGCTCTTCCGGGAAGCCGGGAAGCACCTGTAGCATAGACGCATCAGATCAGGCTTGGCTCCTGTTTGCTGTGCCCTTCTTGGCACGACCCTTCGGCAGCCTCGTCTTCGGCTGGACCCTCTTGCCTGCCTGGAGCTCAAAGAAGTCTTCTGCATTTCGCGCTTTTCAGCAGGATCGGAGACACCTGCGGCCGAGCCTTGTCGCTGCACCCTGGCGGACATTGGCTCAGAGATGTTGTTGGAGCTTCGCCGCTCTGCAGGCAACTGGCGATCTGGGGCATGGCGGTGGCGACGGCATTGCAGGGTTGCTTATTGCCCTCGCTTCCAGGAGTCTTCTGGGTTCTAGGAGAAAGCAAAAAACACTCGAACGGTCTCGTCGAGCGATGCGGCTTGGGAAGGCTTTTATCTTGGCATCGTCAAATTCTAGCGCCTGTCCAAAAGGCATCATGTGTCGCCCCGCTGCCATCCCCTTAGTCGAAGGCAGTGGCTAGTGAAGAACGAACACACTCCGACATAAAATGTTGAATGCATCGCACGTCGGATCCTCGAGCTTTTCGGCACGAAGCTGGTGCATAGCAGGAGTCACCTGGATGTTGGCTGCTTTACGGCTCCTTACTGGTCTGTCCGCGGGTGTCTTGCTTGCAGCTGCGTTTCAAGCCTCGGCCTCTTTAGCTGGCAACTTGACGCCACTCGGGAAAGGCGGTGAGTCTGCCGGAGTGAACACGTACATGTCGGAGTTCGGGGAGGAGGCAGGACGCCAAGCTCTAGCAGTGAGTGTTTTGGTGGGCAGCTTGCAACAAAAATCTGGCCCTGCTAGGGGAGGGAGCACACGCTTGCGGCTGCCATCGGTGTCAACAACGTGACTGCCTCTGCTTGAGTGTGCGTCGCAACGCTTGATGTCAGCATTTTCAGTTTTTGGAGGTGAGTGGCTCGATGGCCTTCTTTCTGGCCAACGCCGTCTCCTTGGCGGTGCATCAGCTGCCTCGTGAGACTCAGATCGCACCTCGACGAAAGACGAAGGCTGTGGCAGGCACACGTTGCGCGATCGAAGCAGCTAGTGATATGTGATGTGTTTCTACGCTTGAAGCAACGCCTATCGGATATGATGTGCTGCAAACCAAAAACCCAACAACGAGATGCTGGGCGCCAAACCCCAACGACCCCCAGCGACGACGCTCTGCTTCGCCTTGCATCGCCTTGCTTCGCCTTGCTTCGCCTTGGCGCTCAGCCCAGGCCTGGGGCTGGCGCATTCCCTTTCTGCTGGCAGCGCCTTTGGGCGTTGTCTCTGCGCCATGGCTGGGTGAACTCAGAAGATCCGCGTCGAAGATTCCACGCAAAGCGCCGAGGTACTTCTGCGTCGCGGCATGGCGGAGACTTCTGAGTTCAGAAAGATCCTCGTCAAGAATGTGCTTTGAGACCAGCTGTCTTCAGTTCTGCCGTGCAAGTGCAGAGGAAGCGTGATGCGGAGATGTCGCAGCACAATCCAGCATCCTGCATCGAGGACGGCTGCCTTTTTGGGGTTCAACACCAGATTCAAGGGCACTCTGACTTCTGAACTCTGAACGGCTTCTTTCAGGAGAGCTCCGAGGAGAGTCGCTCGGAGAGCTCCGAGGATCCAACCTCGGGATGACTTTGACTCGCTCGGATTCTCTACGAACTTGGTCTCTGGGGTCAGAGTCATCATACCATGATGACGGTGTCTTTCGCAAAACTTGGCAGAGTACGGTGCCTTCGTCGAAACATGGGCTGCTTTGAATCGTCTCCTTCGTATTTGCTGTTCTTGTTCTCTCAGGTTTCCTTCTTCCAACAGCCTAACAGAATGCTTCTCTGTATGGCCCGTGCGTCCATGCAAAAAGCGGCGTCGAGCATCCGGCTCCACAGATGTGCGTGAGGACACTGAAGCGCAGAAGGTGCAGAGGATATCTAGGCTCGTGGGTTCTGATTGCTGCTGCAGGAAGTGCATGGGAACATCATGACCTCACCCTTTTCCCCTCGAAAAGGCCTCTCTCCTTCCGTGCCTTCGCCGCCCGCGCCGTGCTGGCGGCATTGGTTTTAGCAGCTGCTGCTTGGACTTGGGCTCTGTGTAGTTGGTGGATTGTCGATTCGATGCAGGCGTGGAGAGCGAGCCTCGGCTATGCAGCTGAGGTCACCAGTTGCAACTACCTGCCTATCTACTTGGTATCCTGGTTGGAAGATGCCATGTACTCAGACATGTGGGTGCCTTTCCTGTTCAGGTCTTGAAGTGGAATGAAGTTTGGCAGTGCTCTTTGAAGGGAGAAATGTCTTGTGATGGCGACATCAGGGCTGCCAAGCGTTAGGAGTCTTGTGTCCAGTTCAAGTCAAGTGCTGTTTACGACAGGTTACGAGCTCGATGAAAATAGATATCACTCCACAGTACATGAATCCCAGTTGGGCTTCGAAGGTGTGTTGGGAGCTTCAAGTTTCGGCAGCTTGCCGGGTCCTGCGGCTAAGCGGAAGGTTTACCACGATGAAGCAAAACTCAAGCATAGAGAAGCCATCATGTTGACATGGCCACTGAGGGATCGAACACATCAGCAACCCTTTGGTCATGGAAATCTTCAAGGTTCCTGTTCTCAGACATTCAGAGCTACGGCGACATATGGTCCCGGTACTGCAAAGGATATGGAAGTATGCAGCAACTCAACCACGTACGGAGCAAAAATACTTCAAAGGGGCGCAGACACACACACACACACCCACACACACATGCATAATAATTTATACACCGCAGATACGTGTTTCGCACACATAAAGGCAACGTAAGGCAATGTAGTGTAATGTACACTTCTGTTGCAATGCCATCTAATGCAATGTAGTGCAATGCAATGTAATGATGCGCACTTCTTGAACTCGGCGAACTCCCACTCGTGAAGACGCCGTCGGGGAACAAAAGCGCGTAGGTCATGAAGACGAAACGCGCTGGCACTGAATATGAAGCGAAATGTAATGTCATGTAATGTAATGTAGTGTAGTGTAATGTAATGTAATGTCATGTATGTTGTGTGTGCATGCACGGTCTGTCGGGGGGGATATACTTCGATCGAGAAGTCGCTTTTTCTCAGATGCACAATTAAGCCAAATGGCTGGGCGAGCTATTGAAGCAGCATTCAGCATGAGTATGCTTATACTGTAGAGACCTGTACGTAGAGTATGAACATACACAGAGAACAGACAGACAGACAGACATTCAAGGCCGGTCTCCGTCCGTCCCTGGCCCTGAGCATCGCCGCTGTGGCCAAGGCCGGCAATGTTGAGGAATAAGCAAAACGAATGATGATGTTGCTGTCAGCTGTGACGAAAATTACATAAGGAATTTGTTTCAGGTGGAAGGTGCGACTGCAAGGTGCGCTGGCTCATTGAAGGACAAATAAATTTGTGAGTGGATTGGAAGGGACTGCCTTTCCTCAGTCGCTGGCTCACGAAAAGCGAGCTTCGATTGAAGCCTAACTTCAGTGTCTCGCGAGACTTTGGGTCACCTCGGTAAAGCAGTCACTACGATACTTCTCGTAGCTCAAGTTGCTAAGGAGGCGAACTTCGTGTAGATGCTCTGTAAAAAAAGGGCAAGGGGCTCTGAGGTGACGCAGGTCTTGAGCACCTTTCCGGTCTCCTTCGCCGCAGACCGTGTTGGTGCTGTATCAGCTTCTTGGCCTGCTTTAAGGGTGCCGTGTTTGGTGTCGCCGCCAGAGGCTTTTTTCCTTGCTGAGCTCTGAACGACGGTGCATACAGGCCACTGTAGTCTATCAGAGCAAGCTTTCCTGCCGGCTACGGTATGTAAGTGGCAAGATGAGACGCTCGAGCTCTTTGCACACAAGGTTATGCTTTGCGGTGGCGCGGCCACCGGTATTGCAGCAGTGCCTTTTCTGCTGCTCCTTGACCATTCCTGGTGGCGGTTCTGGCAGAACAGCCGACTCTTGCATAGGTCGATCAGAACCGCTGCTGTTGCCCCAGGCTTGTCGGCGAGACATCTACGTGGCATGGTACGGCTTTTGTCGTTCTGGGCCTGTTGCTACCAGCATCTTGGCCGGAAGCGTTCTTTGGGTCATGACATGAGGGCTTTGTTAATACCTTCATCACTCCTCAGCTTGAGATTTGTGGCTCTATGGACTAGCAGCGGCCCTTGAAGTTTGCTCATGCTCTTCAGGATCCTCCAAGCTCTACGCACCCCGTGGAAAGCCTCATAAAAAGCCTGCCATGCTTGCGGTGCTGGCATGTCTGCTTGGACCTGTGGCCGCCACTCCTCTGGCCACCTACAAAGTTGAGGCATGGGAGCGGGAAGACTTGGGTGCTGCCGATGATTCAAGCCGTCTTTGCGAAGCGAGGTCTGCAAAACCCTGCGTATTGTTTTTGTGTTTCGCAGGCTCGCTTCCCTCACCGCGTCGATTGTTTCACAGAGGGCCTGGTGCTAAACGGCAGCGAGGCTCGGAGGGTGTCGGACGCGATGTGGTGTAAAGGAAATTAAAGGAAGTTCGATAAGCAACTGCTCCCGGCTGCTCGGTGCGGAATCGGTACCAGGTCTTGGAGTCATGCGGGCTGACGGGCAAATCCGTCTTGAGGCCAGGGTTGCTCCCAAAGAAGTCGGGTCTCGTCCTCAGCCTGAGAATGCTTGTATTTTCATCTGTTGGGGGCCTTGAGGCGCTATGACCTCTCGAGTGGCCAGACCAAGAAGGAGGCCCTTTTGATATCCGAGAGTCGCGCTTAAAATGGCTTATTTCTCACTGTCCCGATCGCGATGTTGCGAGGTTCACTTGGACGGGAAGTACTTTGGCGAGGGCACTGTCGAGCTCGGCACGTCGCTGTTGCTTGGCTTCTCCGAACCAGGTCGTAGCATCGAGCGTCCTGGCGGCTCGTTGCGCTGCAAAGTTGAGGTTCGTTTTGACCTACCAGCACAAAGTGATGCTGGAGTACGACCGAGAGACACTCAAGGTAACAAGAGTCCATCCGTTTCCCTACGGTGAGGGCTGGGGCCTCACCACTGACGGCTGCGATTTGCTTGCGACCACGGGCGCACCGTACTTGTATCGGCTGCGACGTGCCGAAGATGGTGAGTTCAAGCTTGTCAACAAGGTGTTGGTCAAACACGAGGGGAAAAGCCTGAGGATGCTCAACGAGGTTGAGTATGTTACGCCAAAGCTCTGGGTGAACGAGTGGATCACCAATCGAATCTGGCGGGTTGATCCAGTCACAGGCGACTGTGAGAGATACATTGACATCAAAAAGCTTCATCCATGGCGCGGCCAGGCGACACCAAACGGTATCGCATATTCCCCAGCCTTTGGAAAGCAACTTCTGCTGGTCACCGGGAAGCTGTGGCCCAACATGTTTTCTTTGCGCATGAGCGCTTCAGACCTCTGCGGTGGTGCCCTTTCGTCAAAACCGGAATGTATGCAAGCACCACCATCCGTATGCCATGATTCCCACGCGGTGGCCGACCCGGCACCTGGGCCAACAGTCGTGGCCACAACGTCCACAGCGAAGCCTACAGCGCCTGCGCTTTCACAGACGAGCCTCGCCCCCACTATGTCTCCGGAACAGGGCCCTGCCCCAAATGCAGGCCTCTTTAGCATGCCGCCTGCGACAGTGTCCGGCCTGCCTGTCGGTTTCAGTACGGCCTTGAGTCTTCTAGGGATTTGCCTATTTGTAGTTGCCTTCGCTTCCAGTTTGCTGCTTCGCTACATGCGACGGCGTCAGCGAGAAACGCTGCATCGCCAGGTGGAGTCTGAGTCCGATGGTTGAGAAAAGGCAGAAACACAGTAGACTGGACTCAGTAGAGCTTTGCCTGCTTGCCGAGAAGCCAATCGGTTCATAGTTCTCCTTGCCAGAGTTGTAGAGCAAGGTTGGGGCAACAGGCTCAATGCAGCTGGGATCTTCACTCCTTTGTCCCAGGTCTTCATCAGCATCTACCTGGTGCCATCGCCACTTGCCCTCAACAGCTCCGGAAAACTCTGTCGAAAACGGGTGCTTTTCCGCGTTGGAGGCCGCTCTTCATGACCTCCCTTTTCCCGACGCAGCAGCGGGGCCGCGGCGCTGGGCTCTGCGGCTTGGAGAGAAGCGGAACAAGACCAACCACACCAATACTCATGGTACTGCTGTGTTGGTGGCAGCTTGAGTTTGCATTGTGCAAGCCTTGGTCTCGCCTCCGTGGTGGGTGGCCTCATGCCCGCTGCGGTGCGGATGGGAAGTTTTTGGGGGCCATTGCTGTGCTGTGCTGTGCCGCTATGGAGGCCTCTGCTCTTGCGAAGTACGGCTACCTCTGGCCAGGCCAGGCCCGGCCAGGCATCATTTTTCATCAGGGTCCCCTTCGTCCCATTCGTCGGATTCCGAGGTGCCCTCATATCCCTTCTGATACTGCCCTCGTTGCTGCTGCTGGCCTGCGCGAAGCGCGCGGCTGCACGCGGGGATCTTGCGGTTTTCCAGCGGGCCTGGCTGTTCTAAGTCAGCCATGAGCTCCGTCCTTCCGCCACTTGAAATTCAGGAGCGGGTCACAAGCACCTGCATGAGAGCATGGCTCCTGCCTGAAGAGCCTTTGCTTTCCCTCGCGGTCGCCCGCCGTAGAGGCTGGCGGTTACCTCGCAGGTTGCCCATCGTCCCTCCGATTGCATGCAGCGCAACGTCTTTGAGCATGGCATGTGCCGGCCTCCACGCTTGAAGTGCTTCGTATCGCTTCGTCTACGAGCGTGCTTGGTGGCAGTTGTACAGTTCCCTGTCTCAGTGGGCGTCTACTCGGGCAGGCAGATTTGAAACCTGCCCCTGAGGCTCGGAGACCCTGGCAAAGGGCCTGATCGCATGCTCTCTATACCTGCTTCATCAAACTGTGATCGTACCTTTCACCAGCTCGCGCGGACAATACGGGAGCCAAAGATCTGATCAGGCAGCACGTAGATTCGATAAATAGTGCCTCCATCTATCGCCTGCTGCCCAGGGCGTTCAGCAAGCCAGCAAGCATTTTCCTGTCCAACGTCCCCAACGTCCCCCAAGCGCAGAGGCACAGTACGGTCTTGCCGCACCGGCTGTGCGGGCCACCAGCGCGCAGGACCCTGGGTAAACGGAGAGCAGAGCAGCCCACAGATTTTGGGAGGTGTCGATGTCGAACTTGCATTTAGGGCCATTTAGACGTCGCCATCGGTCTTGCCTTCAATGCCAGACCGCGGCGGATGCGTTCCTGGACCTGCGACAAATCCTCCAAGAGGCAGCTGCCTTCCGTCAAGAGATGGCCTTAAGAAGCGCGACGGCCTTTTAAATGAGCCCAGCCACTGCTGCAGGCTGGTGGTGGTTCGTCAGAGGACGGAGCAACCGAGGCGCCTGAAATGGCACAGAGGGTACCTGTGTAGGTCTTCATCTTCTGCTCAACCTCAGTTTGTGTGATGTCCCTGGACGGAAGGCACACTTGGTTCTCGTCGCGCATCCACATCAGTTGCCCTACCTGGCTTTGTCAGGGGCTTGGGCGGTTTGTTCCTGTTCCGCTCCTCCTGCGTGCAGGGCAAGTCCCAAACCCAGCTTTATGAGGCATGACAGGTGACGACGGTAAGCTTGTACTCGGAATCTGAACGCAGTCTTCCTCTTGCCGAAAACACTTTCCGACTTGTTGGTCTGCGATGCTTCTTGGTTGTCTCCGATTCCGTTGTCTGTGTCTGTTACTGCTGCTGCTGCTGCTGGTGCTGGTGGTGGCGTTGTTGTTGTTCCTGCTTCAGTTACTGCTGTTTCTGTTTTATCTGTTTTTGTTGCAAACTGACCACGTCACCCTGCACCACGAGTTTCTCTCCAAGGATTGCCGTGGCTTCGGGCTTTCGCAGAGTCGCTTTGCTCGACCCGCAGTGCCCTGGACAGAAGTGAGCTTGGCTTCGGAGGAGATGTTTGAATGTTTGGACGGTGAAGATATCAAGGATGCCCTCAGAAGCCCTCGGAAGCCGCTTTCCTAGCTTTGCCATTCTTTGCCTCTTTGGCTCTCCGCCCAGGCTCTTCGAGGCTGTGCCTTGGCGGACCTTCGGTGCTCATCTCAGCGGCCGTCCCGTCTTCCCTGGTTCTCGCGCTGAACTTCGACAGCGGCTCCCAGGCTGCAGCCGGCTCGGATATGGGGGCGGCGGCGCCGCAGCGACGGTCGCCTTGGACCAGGAGGCGGGCCCCCGGACTTTCTCCTTTGCATAGTCTTTGCAAAACGGCTTGGACTTGACCATCAGACTTGAGAGGCCCACCGCTTCGAGTCCTATGCTGGCCAGTCAGCCCGGCTATTTCAGAGCTGGCCCCGAGTTGCAAGCTTTCCAAGTGCATCTCTCTGCCAGCGTTGCTCGCGTAGATTGGGAACTCGCGCCAGGTTGAAGGAGACGGAGCCGGAAAGGCCATGCCGATGCACTGGCTGCTGGCTACGAACAGCTCTGCCGTGACATGTTCTCCGAAATGTCTTCCGTTAGGCGGCTTCTGCACTGTGTCGATGATGCGGCATGGTGGTGCTCAAGCAGTTTTCCAGCACTTGCTTTGCTGCTCCACTACACCACTCCTACGGACATGCTCTTCCCCCATGGAGAATCATAAGGACATCCATAGGGCTAAAGCGCAGGACAGCATAGATAGTCTCGTGAATCAGCAGGAGTTCCTGCTGTTGAGGTTGCACAGCGCCAGGAGAATGAAGTTAATATCCAAGAAGCAATGACAGCTTTCCACAGGAATTCATGCGCTTAACCTGCATGGCATGGCATGCCTGCTGATGGCTGATGGCTGCCGGTGAGGTCGTGACTGAGAAATGGATGTGTGCGCCTGGTCTGAGAGAGCGGCAAACAGAGAATCTTGCGAGGCCGTTCTGAGTGAACTGCTCGCGGTGCTCCGCGTCGCCACCGCTTCAGTGGCTTCTCGGACTGTGTGCTTTCTTGGACTTCGGAGCAGTGTTTGGATAGAGCACGAGAGCGCACTCGCTGTCCTCTGAGAAAAGAGATCGAGGGTTGATTGTAACTGGGATTCTGCTGCTCAGCTGCTGAGTTTCTGCAGGCTACCGGAGTGCTCTCCTTCGTGGTTCGTGGCTGAGCACGTCGGCGAAGTCACACACACACACAAAGACGCATTGACATGCACACCTATCCCTCCTTCGGAGACAGGTTCCTTGGCAAATCACTCGGGCCGTGTCCATACATTTGGGCCCAGAGGCAGCAGGGTGTGTGTGACACTCTCGTGACCTGGTCTTTGCGGGTGCTCCAGGCCTTGGCTGCCTATGCCCTCGGCCAGCTGACTGGGAATCTCGGCACAAGAACATGCACAAGTCCAAAGAATTTCAAGCCTAAGCCCGAAGATCAAGTAGTTGTTTACTCAAACATGCACGCACAGAGATAAAGGCCAATGACACGGTAAACTAGAAATGATCCTCTTCTGCAGATGTTCCATCGACTCACTTCGAGAAGGGGGTGTGCTGTGAGTATCTCAAGCAGAAATTGCTCGTCGAGTCCCTCATATGGCTGATAGAGTTTCAATTGGATGCATGACCAGTGAAGCAGATGTATGCGAAAATCTGTACCGCAGCGACCTCCACCCTGTCGGCTCTGCTGTTCGACGTTGTGCTGTATCGGTTGAATGCGACGGACGTGACTATGAGGAACCTGACCGGGCGCAGCATCGTGAATGGCATCTTGGCTGCCGAGATTGCACACAATTTTAAGCTCCGGACTCGTAAACTCACCAGAATGAGGCTTGCTCTTGGCCTTCGACACCTTGGGGGCACAAGCCTTCGGCCGCGGTGATTTCCGTAACATGGCCCGACTTCTGATGACTTCTGCAGGAGAGCAAGCGCAGTGTCCGTGCCATTTACGTAACCATCTGGTGTTGCAAGCCCCAAGCATACGAATATGCAGCACGTACACCCAGATCCCCTCAGTTTTCAGATGTTTCCAGCAAGCTATGGCTAGAGGTGGTTGTAGAAGAGTTTGGGTCTAGGATATGCAATTCAGATGCCATGGTATTGCGACTTTGTATAGTAAGAGAACCTGCCCAGGCGAGGTTGGTGTGCTAATGCTACGTGCAGCTCCTCGACGGAAGACTCCATATAGCTTTGAGGCATCAATTTGAGGCAGCAAGTTTGAGGCTTCTGGCAACAAAGGTACTTCTCGCTGTGTGCCTCCTCACACCTGTCGGGCTCCTCAGCCTGCCGGCTATTCGGCTTCTGCTACGGACGTGAACCGCGAACGGCGAAGCGGAGCATGGGGTTCTTTGAAGGCTTCGTTTGGCTTTCGTGTTTCGCCAGGTGGCCTTTTCCTGGTCCTGGGCCGAGCAGTGCTTCCTCGTGCTCGGTCAGGCGCGGGATGATATGGGGCTTAGATGGACTTATAGGGCACAGACTCAACAGATTGTCTCATGCTGTCAAGCACGCAATCTACAGCTCCATGAGACACCTTTTCTGTTGCCGCTGTACAGCACTCGAGTCTTTGTCGATCCAGTGTCATCACTCTGCGGTATGATGTATACGAATCATTCAGATGCGTATGAAAAACTAGCGTGCAAGACTCCACGCGTGAGGCAGGCACTCTGTAAGGAATCTTCGAACAGTGGACACGACATTTTCATGGAAACCGATGAGGTCCATTGACAAGACTAGGCTGACTGGGCAAGCTGCTTGTAAGAAGATCCCAGACACCCATGGGCACTTGTGCAGATGTGGGTTTCGGATGGCTCTTGAACACAGGAGCCGTTTGTGGCATCCTTCGCGGCGCGGTACCTGCAGAAGCTTGTCTGAACTCGGAGGTTGGTGTTGGTCGCAAGGGCTTGATGTTCTTGCTGCGGTTTGAAAAATGCCCTTTGATGCCTTGCGGAGGATCTTCCGCTTCAGCATAATTCCCCTGGCACTCTTTGAGGCGCTGTGGGGCGGTGGGGTAACAGAGTTTTCCTGCACCGCCTGGGCCAGGTGTCTCGGCGTTTTGCCTTGAGTCAGGCGCCGGTGTTTTTGCCAGTGACGTTTGCTTCTTAGGGTCCTTGTTCTCCAAAGAAGACCTTGTAGGGAATCGCCTGGCCTTTCACGGCTGCGACTTTGGCTTCCAACACCTTCGTGGCCTTCGCAGCAGCACCGATGCTGCGCTGCTCGGCTGCTTTGGCTTTTCACTCCGTGAGGCTTCCGGAGGGTGCTTTTCCACAGAGGCCTTTGGGGCTTCGACGGCAGCGCTTTGCTCAACCTGGCGGCGGTCAGCGTTCAGGCTGTCACAGGCAACTCAGGCGGATGCGAAGGTCGGGCTGAATCCAACTGCTTTTCACCGAGGCCTGGCATACATGGCCATCCGCAAGCCTGGAGAAGCAACCCAGGCCGATGTTGGTGAGTTCTCGCAGCAGTACCAAGCCCTGACGCCTGAAGCCCAAACTCTGAACCCGGCAGCTCGCAACCAATAACCCCATGCCCAATAAGCTCGCTAGTGATGAGTAGCAGCATCCCCTCAGAGTCTACGTGTACTCCCAGGTACAACACCGGCTCAGGACTGATAGCATAGTGCAGACCAGGCCTTTCGTTACAGAAACCGCAGCTCGACTCTAGTAACCTTCTTGTAGTGGCGCGAGTCTAGGAGCCCTATGATTCTACGCCCCACTCTAGTCATAGCAGCCCTAGAGTAATACTGTTGACTATTGCTGTCATAGTAGGCCCTATCATAGCAGTCCCTATAGTAATAGTAGCCCGATCATAGCAGCCCTACATCGACTGTAGTAGCCTTGGTTCCAGGCCTTTCCGGGGCTTCCGGGACTCTCTGAGGCGGCTCAGAAAGCCTCCAGGGCTGCAAGGAGTCTCCGGAAACCAGGGTCTTGGGGTTCGGGTTCAGGGACGTCTAGGGTTTGGGGACAAAGAAAGGACAGTGGTATGGTATGAATGGTCAAAGCCTGAGGTATTTCAAGCAGGAATGGTTTGGGTTTTGGGTTTAGGACCCGGGGCTTAGCATTTAAGCAGCACGGTACGAGTGCAATCACATCTTGCACGGGTAATGGTGGGTACAATGCGAATCTAGGACAATAATCACAAGATGACTCCTGTGATGAATAGTTGTACTACTGCACTACTTCGCATAGATGGGCCATGCCAAGCTATCAGCATGCAATTGCATGTGAGGCCAGTTTACAGCGGAAGTCTGTCCCGTGACGCACCCCCAGCGATGCTTTAAGGATGGGCTCTTCGAGTTCCTGAAGCTTGCGGTGCCTGGAGTTCTCTCCATGACTGCTCATGAGGGTTTGGGATCTTGGCCTTCTTGATGCTAGGAGAGGCAAGCCACAGAAGCATAGAGTCAACAGCAAAGCAAGGGAGAGCAAATGCCGAGCCAAAGCAAGACACGTTTTCGCACTGCGCTCTGCCAGCTGCTGTTCAGATGTACAGCCACTTGCCGAAATAAAAAGCCGAGCGAAGGCCCGCCAAGCAACGAGCAGACTTGCACACTCAAGCAAAATAAATTATGTATCAGCAGGGCTGTTTGCAAGCCCTTCAAGGCGTGAACCTTGAGAGGGCCACGACTCAATGAGTGCGCCACGCTTGTCTTGTCTTATTGTCATGACCACGACTCTTCTTTATCTTCGGAGCATCAGCTAAACCGACAGTCTCGGCTTTTCGCCGACTCGACAAAGGTCGCAGGTCACAAGATGAAGCAGTTGACCTATAATCCTTTTCCAGTCACCACTTGTGAATTCTGGGAAACAGGGAACCGGTCAGCGGCACGACAGAAAGAGGAACAGCAACACTCAACTCTTGAAGGACAGAATGGTGGTTTTGGGAAGTCACCTGCTTCCGTGCCGGAGTCTTCGGTGCATCCTCCCTTGCAGCGCACACGGTCGGCCGCCTCAGAAGGGATTGCCTGGAGTTCAGTGGGCTCTCAAGACTTAAGGTTGTCTACATGGCTGTGCCTCTCCTATTCCAAGTGCCAAGAGGACCGACGGGGGCCGCTGTTTGTGGCTTTTTGCAGCTCGGACGTGTTTTCCGTTCTTTTTGAAGGTGTTTCGATGGGCTATGCTGCCCGCGCCGGAGCACTCCTGGGTGAAGGCCGCGGCAGGGCCGCCAAGAAGGCATCGCGGGCAGTGGCACATCTTTTTTAAAGCCACGGCTTTCATCTCAGCTGGAGGTGGCCTTCATAGGCCTTGCAATCGGGGTGATGCTCGTCCTCGTGGATGCGATGCTAATGTGGGTGACTTGCCCGCGCTGCCATTCTCACACAGATGTGACCTTTGTGACTAGGACTCCGGGGTCAGCCCTCACTGGACAGTGCTCGTCTGGCCAGCACAGGTGGCGCAAGAGGAGTACATCGCGCAGATGGCAGGCCTGATGTTTCAAAGAGCCGGTGCACCGGAGCACGCAGGCAAAGTTACATCAGAACGTCCTCCCCGCGCGCGCGCGGATGTGTGTGTGTGTGTGTGTCTGTGTGTGTGTCTCTGCGCGCTGTGATGCAGGCTCCTCGAAGGATCTGACGGACACCTGTCGCAAGATTTGGCCGTTTGTCATCTTCTTCCTCGTTGTGGATGGGCTATTTCCTTTGAACCAAGGACCCTCTGCAAGATTTGCACAGCCAGGTTTGTACTTGTGTTGCTCTATGCCTATAGATTTAGCGCATCTCCCTCGATAAGTCTGTCTGAACGAGCTAGTATTTGAGAGAGCCTTGGCGACAGGAGTATGCAACATCCACTCGCATCAGGGTCGAGTTTCCGTCTCAATGATTCTCAGCCTTTGGATCGTGGGTGTGCCCCTTGGCCTAACTTAGCAGCTTCAGCCTCTCAGGAAAGTTCTATTGCGACACTCTTCATGCGCCTAAGCCTTCGCTGCCACTGCGACAGAGCAGCAAGGCCAGTCACCCTCTCCAGTGCCGACCTGCTCAGTCTTTGGAAGATTTTCCCCCTCTGCGCCTCGGTGGAGCATTCCTGGTAAAGCCCTGCAAAAGAAGCCTTCGAAGGGACGTCCAACTATTTCGGCTAGCCTGGCTCAAGGCTACATCCTCCTGAATGCTCTGTTGATTTTGTCCTTTGCCTTCTCCGACTGGGACTTGGCCGTCTAGCACTCAGAGATGCACGGCTCCGACTCCTTCGAGAGAGTCCGCAAACTGCGCAGGCTCAGCGTGCGTCGCACAAGGAGTCCTGCCCAGCACGTTCAGCAAAGCTTTTGTTGCCACGTGGACAAGCAGCAAGCCATGCGGCGACGTTCCACGCTGTTCGTCATTCCCGAATGATGTGGGAGGGTTCTTGTGAGAGTTGCCCCCGGTGGTTCAATGGGAAGACGTGTATTGCGTTGCTTGCCAATTCCGGCTGCGGATCACAAGCAGGCTTGTCTTGCGTTTGTGCATTGATTCGGGATGCGACACTGGCGTCGCTTTGCTTCGACATGTGGTGCCGTGCTCAAGAAAAGAGTCCTGCGCAATCTATTCAGTTTGTTTTTGTGAACCCCACAAAATATGTGAGTGTAGAGGGCCAGATGATGAATGCCGAGCTGCCTAGCACGGATGCGGCCCTGCTGCACCGAGAAGCGGCGTAACAAGTGTTTACGGCTTCATCCTCGATCTTGTACACCGAGCGAAGTCAGGCGGTGCCATTTAGGTCAGTAGGACGCATGACTGACTTCGCGCATCTTGCGAGGACGAAATCGTTGGTGACGCAGACATGGAGAAAGCGAATAATGCACAGCTAGGCCCTGAGTCAGCGAATCCTGAAGTGCTTTTCGCCCTAGGAGCGGTCCGGTGCTCCACTTGTTTTCGGGATTTGCCCCAGGTTCCACACGCCGAACTCCAAAAATCTACAGCCGCAAGCTCCGGCTTCAGCTGTTTCTCGTGGCTCTTGAGCCCGGAAGCCTCCTGGGAAACCCTAAACCCTAAACCCCTAATTTCTGGGATGTTTCTTCTGAGGTCCTAGGAGCCGAGGATGTGGTGAACCACAGCTGAGCCGGAAATATCTCTTCAGTCTAGGGCCTTTCGCAGGCCGAAAAAGAGGGCCTGTAGGGAAGTTTCGGATATTTAAGTGTAAAGTGGTTGAAGTCTCCGCCCTCCGAGCTCGCAGAGCTGAGCCTAGGCTTCTGCGAAGCTGCCCGGAAAAAGGACATGGTATTGCCGAAGGGTGAGCGACACTTGGGAGTGCTTTGCCTTGCCCGCGATCTTCTTCTGCCATTTTCTCCGCAGGTTTCTCGTTGTTTGCAAGTCCCTTGGGCGGCAGGCTGCAACGATTACAGCCACTCATCGAAGCCGTCAACGCGACGCTCGACTTCCACCGCTGCGTGGCACGGCAGGCCTGAGTCCCAAGATTGCCACCGTGGCCCTCCTGCACCGTCTGCACAGCAGCGTGCAGGCAGTGCTGCCTGGTGCAGTGAGAGCCTGCGCACAAAAGCCGTAGCCCCTCAGCTTATGGTGAAGTCTCAGCGTCCAAACCTGGTCCAAAGCGGGCCTTGCGGAAGCGATTCCGACAAAATGACGACGTGCAGAGGCAGACGAAGGGTCTCCTGGATGTCGCATGTCGTATCAGAAATAGATTCAACCTTCCCGGGCAGTGCTATTCTGTCCGCACAATGTCCCGTTCCGTGATCGCGCTCGCCCTCTCTCTCTCTCTCTCTGGTTGTGTTTTTTGTGGCGCAGACACTGTTTTCTCTCTCTGTCGGTGCTGTCGCTGAGAACATGGACATGTATACCCCTAGTTTAGTTACCTAGGTGTATCTACAGGAGATGTGCATGTGTTACATATGAACATCGATGTTGAACCATCTTCTGGGCAATTGAGCAATTGAGAACTCATGTCGATCGTCTCTCTAGTGATGACTTAGTTGCGCTTGTATTCAGGAGTGGTAATCCTGCATTACCTCGAAGGACCCCCCTTTTTATCGGAAGTTACCAGAAAGGCCTAGCCGCAACAAAGGCATCCAGGGCAAAACTGAAGTCAGTGATGTTTCGTGGGCTCACGACAAGGTTCCCCAACAACAAAGCTGAGCAAGCTACGTGAACTATATACCCACGGCTTACGCAGCTATCTCGGGATGCGCTGGACACCATGCAGACGAGTTTCATGAAGTTTTCCTGGCGTAGCCCGTTGCTGGCTGTCTTGGGTTTCGGTTCAAGCCGCCGCCAAAGCTGCGCGCGGAGCCGTGGAGGAGAGCTCTGAAGATTCTATAAACCACTCTTTAGTGGCCAGTGTGCTCATAGGAGCCGGAGACCTAGTCCTCGTTCAATCAGACAGTTTAGGTTTGTCTTCAGCAACAAAGAACCGCACAAAGCAGAACCTTTGTGTTTCCAGGTTTCCATCATGCAACCATTTGAGTATGCCATGTATCCGTCATTGCCATGGCATTGGTAGGCTTGCCAGCCGAGGAGGGCCCAGCGAACCGTAAGTGGCCCGAACATCGCTTGTCGGCCCTGCTGAGGAGCATGTGGGAACAACTCACCGCCTTGAGCTTCTCAGAAACAGGCACGGGCATGCAAACCCTCTTGGGATAAGTGACTATTCGTGACTGATGTGCCTCTTTGATATGTTCCGCTCTCCTGCAGCCCTGACAGTAGCTTGGAGCATGCTGGCACCTTGGAGGACAGCTGCGCAATCTCGCCATTCCAAGCGAATACCGGTTGCTCACTCTGTTGCACTGCTTAGATCGGTGCAGGACCGCCTGAGGCACCGCGAGCGCTGCTTTGGCACCCTCCGAGCATCCTGGCAGGTGAAGTCGCTTGTCTCGACAGTCTTAGGCCAAACTGTTCAGTGTGGTAGCTGTGCTTTCGCAGTTTGACGGAACGACCTCAGCAACCGAGGAACTGCTTCAGTGCATGGCGGTCGCTTGTTGAGACACAGAATGGAGCGTTTCGAGCGCACCCTTGCAGCACAAGCTTCTTTCAAGCCCTTCTCGCGATCAGTTTCATGTTCAGGGCCGGCTAATTCAGCAGATCAATAGCCAAGGAGAGACAGGTTAGGGGAAGTCACCGTTGCCCGGGTATTTGTCGGGCTAGTGTCGTGCAAAGCTAAACAGCTGCAGGCAGGAGGACCACGACGCCCAGTTGAGGACCATCTTCGATTTGCAAGAATTGCTCGCACAGAAGGACCGCAGTCGCGTCTTGAATCAGCTGAAACGTCATGTCTCGACTTGCAGACTCGGCTGGAGGCAGAGCTTTGCATGTGCCGTCAGACTTCTTTCGACGTTTCGGAGGAGTTGGAAAATCGACAGCTGTCTCTGATGCTGGTAACCAGCGAAAGAAAGCGGTCTCTTGTTTGCGAGAGTCTATAGCAGCCGGTGCTGTGAGTATCCTCCTGCAATAGAAGGTCGACCCTGGCACACAGCGTGCACGTCATCCAGACGGGAGCTTCGGACCTCGTGATTTGCATACGGGTGCTGGAAGCCCAGGCAGAAAGCAAGTCGTCGAAATGTGTAGTACCCTCCCAGTCTCGCAAATTGCGTGGCCCTTGTCTTGAGGTTTGCTGCCTGGCGGCGCCTCAGCGTGGAAGGTCGCCTCACTGGCACACTGCTCCGCATCGAGGCACCGTGCACTGAGCCGAAGTACAGATACAGAGCATGGGCTTAGAGACGTACGTGTCAATGTGTCTATGTGCACACGTGTGCATGTCGTCGCATGTTCATATGCCTCATATGAGCATACTTAGGCAGATGAACTTTCTAGAATCACATGCGCACGCACAGGGATACACATGTGCCTGTACACACATGCTTGCATGCATATGCTTATTAAATTATACGTACCGCAACTGCAGAGAAAAAACACAAACTGCACATAATCGCTTGATTAGATGGTTAGACAGACAGATAGATCGATAGATAGATGGAGGAACCGAGAGACAGAGATAGAGAGATAGATACAGATATAGACATAACTGTATGCATTTTGCTAGATGGGCAGATCAAGTTGTCGTGGCAAACTGTGAACGACATGATGGTGATACGAGACAACTGGCATAACCGCTATGCGTGATATTCAGGCACGGTCATGTGCAATATGCTTGGCTTTAGGGTACCATAGCAGCACTGCCGGCTTTGTTGCAGATCGTGCATCTCGCTCGACAGTTCGAGGGTGACTAGAGCTTCAGCTCATTTCCTTGCATTGTCAGGCATGTCTTCATCATCCTACGCCTCTGTGGACACGAATCGGCCAGTAGCTCCAGGTAGTTCAGAGCCGAGCGCCTGGCTCGACTTCCGGACCTTCTCCTGCCCGGAGCAAGAAGAGTGTGCACTTTCTTGGTAAGCTTGATTCCCGGTTGCGGATTCGCGGGCGGTGGAGAAGTCTGCGAAATTACTCAGCGCAACAAGAACCTCCGCTCCACATGACGGAATTGTAGCATTTTATGCCTCATGCTTGGAGGTCTATCGTTCAAGCCACTGCCCTTGATTGCAGGAGCTGGAAGCAATTTGTCTTGCGATTTTGCTTGGCAGTCGCCAAGCTCTGACTCTTAGGTGCGACATGTCATTTAGCAGGTGGCCCTCGGAGGTGAGTATTGTCGCAATGCGTGGCGGACATCAGAATCACACAGGAAGTCAGTGTTATCCAGAATGCGTCAGCCCCATCTCGCCGTAAGCAACCCTATGATGAACCACCCAACCCAAAAGGACACACTCTTTGTCGCTTCGTATCTGTCTTGAATTCGTTTGTCAAGCTGTGGTCATCTTATGAGAGAAGCAGGGCTGGTATCCATGCGCGACTGCGCTGTCAGCCACAAGTTTGCTCACAAAGGGGAACTTGCCGACAAGCGAAAGCTCGACGAGCTACGGTTGTTTTCATTCCCAAAGGCCCAAAGGTATGTCGAGATGCTGTTCCCTCCAGTTGCAGGCTATTGCAAGTTCATGTATGTGCAGTTTCGGCAAGAAGCTCTTCGCTACTTCTGCGCTCGTCCTCCCAGCCGCCGCCAAAGCTGCATGCGGAGCCTTCCTAGCTGAGCTCAGGCAGACAAGGTGAATCTAGTTCCTCTTTCATGGCCCGTGTTTGTGGAGGTAGTGAACCATTCACCATTCCTTCCACTTCTAGAATACGGTTCAAACCTCCCTTCAACCTCTTCTAGTGCCCAAAGAGGCATTGCGACAAAGCCACTATGTTCAGGTGCCTCAGTTTGTAGTTCCCGCCTTAGGTTGACCTCCTTGTCAACCTCAAGCCGCAAAGCCATGGTTTTTAGCACGGAATCCCATGCGGTAGACCCGGTAGACTATGCAGCGTATCCGTCATTGCCATGGCACTGCTAGGCCTACCGGTCGAGGCAGCGACCTTATATTCCTGTTTAAAAGAGTCAGAAAAATGCTAGAGCACCTCGAGCCCGACTGGACCGCAAGACATCGGCTGAACGGTTAGCTTTTTTTCCGTGCAGGAGCGCTCGCCTCGTCGCTTCGAGCTCCGAAACAGGCCTGGAAAAAGGGACGTCCTTGAACTCTCGGGCCTCGAGCCATCTCACGCTTCGCGCACATCCTTGAAGCCTGTTCTGAGTCGATGCAATTACCTGAAACTTTGCACCAGGTCATTCTCCACCCCCAGCCTTTCGCAAAAGGTTCCACGAGGCCAGAAGCTGGGCAAGGGCAGCGCACCAGCACTCGACTGTTCAGGAGTAGTTCTAGGACGAAGTGGCTGCTCGAGACTCTATCATGCTGCATTCTTCGCGGGACATTGGCCACAAGCTGGCAGGTTCCGCGTGGGCGTTAGGTGCTCGCCTCGAGATGCTGTCGTTGCTTAGATGGGCTCAGTGCTGACGCTTTTGCCTCAGGAGAGCCTGTGGCACTGCCGCGTGCCACAGGGGCGCCGCGTGTCCCGGGCCCGCGAGTGGCACGCACACGCACGCCAGAGGCCCCAGCAGCCCGTCCAGCCCCTACCCCAGCCGCCCGCAACTTGGAGGACTGCGATTTAGCATTTGCGTTCCCACTACCGGGTACTACCGGAATTGCATCATACTGCGCAGATTGGCACAGGACCGGCTGAGGCACCGCGAGCGCTGCTTCGGCACCCTCCGAGCATCATGGCGAGTGAAGTGGCTTGTCTGAGAACGGCAAGCTGCTGTGTGCACGGGTGTTGACATGGCTTCTCCTCCGCAACCGAGGAACTTCTTTAGTGCATGGCGGTCGCTCGTTCAGATGCAGAACGAAGCTCTTCGAGTGCACCTTTGCAGAACAGTGATAACATCTTCAGGGATGTTTAAGTCTAAGTCTTGCCATGTCTTGCCTGTGGTGCATGGGGTGTTGACATGGCTCAGCCACGGCAGAGCCATGCCGACTCGGGCCTTTCTTCAGTTTCAGGGCAGCGCATGAGCACTTCAGTAAGTGAAAGTGGGGATGCTTCCCGGCCTTTTTTTGCACCGTCCCGAGCCCCCCTTTTTCTGAGGGTTTTGGTTGGTTGAATCGGGAGAGCAAGGCCGGCACCAAAGCCTGAAGAATGGGTTTAGGACCGTTTAGGAGTTTAGGGCCGCTGTGCAGTGTGCCGTTTCACGACTCCAGGCAGCAGGACCACGAAGCTCAGTTGCGTGCAATCCTCGATTTGCGAGAACTTCTTGCCCAGAAGGAGCGCTTCTCAGCTGGAGCCGGTAAGCACGCCGCACTTTCTGGTTTGTGCCCTGTTTCCGTTCCTGAGGAGTTGGAAGTTCGACAGTTGTCTTTGCTGCTGGCAACCAGCCGAAGAAAACGGTGCCGCCTTTGCATAGGCCCGCTTTCGCATGACCCAGTGTCCCCCTGCAACAGAGGTCGACACTGGAGCACGGCATTCACATTATCCAGACCGGCGCCTCGGATCTCGTGATTTGCCTGCGGGTGTCGGAAGCTCAGACAGAGAGCAAGTCCAGACGCATAGTACACTCCCAGTCAGCTCACCTTCATGGTTTTGGAGAAGCATCACCTTACTCTAAATGTTTTAATAACATACCACAGTATTCTGTTATACTAAATGTCCTTGAGTTATAATATACCAAGTTCTATCATATTGCATTATCTCAAGGTTGGGCGCCTGGCGGCGCCTCAGCCGGGAAGGCCGCCTCACCGACGCGCTGCGGCGTGTCGAGGCAACCGTCTCCCAGATGCGGGCGTGGAAAGCAATATGCATGAAAGCTGACAACGAAACCATGCCATTGAGTGTATATGTATATGTACATATGAATATGAATGCATATGAATACGTAAACAAACAGAAATATGTAAGAATAGGTAAGTATAAATGTAAACAAGCAAATAGATATAAATATAAATGCATATACATATATATATATACATATATATACATACACATATACACATGCATACATACATACATACATACATACATTCATTTCATTCGGATGGCTGAGAGACCGTAGGTCGCGCCACATGCAAGAAAAATGAATTCGTGAAACTAGTCATCAGGGCTGCACAGGCCTTGCGCATCAGAAATCAACCCCACTGAGAGTATCCATGTCGGCACGGGCTCGATCGAAGCGAGGGTCTGACGCGAGGCAACTAGTGCCACCCTGGTAGTCAGCGATTGCTGAACTAGACTGCCTACAACATCGCATGCTGCCTCGAGGAAAGCGGCCTGTCGCCTTGCCGCTGCGAGTGGAGTGCCACCCAAGAATGGATAGCAAAACTCGGGGCATGGAGCCGCTTCCAGCACGAAAGTCGCAACCCTTCCCGTCAACATGAAAGGAAGGCTTGATGCGGAAGGGCCTGGTAACTCCTCGCAGCAAGGAGCGATGTTGCTTGCAGGTTTTCGGGAGCAGAAGGTTTCGCAGATCAACTCGGGATCCAGCATCAAGATTATATCTTGAGCGACCTCCTGACGTGCAGCATCAGCGCCTTCCTCCCGACTCCATATCAACACTGTTTCCTTCAGCAGGGAAAGTGGCTCGATAAACTCTGAAACAACTTGCCACACAGTCTCCGCGTCCGGTTCTGTCAAGTTTTGCAGAGCGGATAAGAGCCCCGGGCTGTATGTCGCGGGGTCCCTGACCTCATGTAACCGCTCGAGTAACCCCTCTACGGTCGGGGGCGGGAGACAATCATGTATCTTCGGGGCCACCAACCCCTCAGGCAGGGAGAAGGATCCCCATCGAACTCTACACTCCGACGAGTGAAGAAGATGCCTCCGGAGTCGGGCTGTACGGGAGAAGCATTTGCCACAGGCCCGGCACAGGGTATCTCCCTGAGTGCCTGCCATCACAGACGCTGCAATGCGGTACCCATGCAGTTTAGATGAATGACACGCCCACGCTGCTCGAGACCCGAAGCCTCTACGGCAAGGAATGCAGGCCTCGGTATACACGGGGGGTGTGGGGCCGGCACCTCGATGGTCCTGTCCATGAACCTGACTATGGATAGCCTTATACAATGCTTGCAATGCAGCATGGCAGGTAACACGGCACATCTCCAAGCCCTGGGCTCGCAAAATCAGACCTTTGAACCGACCGGGCGAGGACTGCATAAATCTACACCACCTGTCACAATCGTCCAGTGGGTGTGGCAGGTCACAAGTGGCCTTAACCCGTACATAGAGCCAAACCAAGGACTCTCGCAGACACTCGACGTATGGCTTGTCATTTCGGATGACAGCCCAGGCGGCGTCGGGAGCCTGGGCACACAATTGGCGTAAATAACGCAGCCGCTCAATGTGCAAGGTGGTCTCAAAGTCAGGGAGATTGATCAAGGAGCATATCGTGGCAGTGGATAGGTGCTGATCCTCTGTGACCTTTATACCCAACGTGGATCGGTAGAGGGAAACAGAGCCCCTGCTATGATACGTGCCTCAGCACTTTTGAGCGGAGGCCATGCCCCAGCTCCGAACCACAATTTGCTGAGGACGAGGGTACGGAGCAGTGCACCTCTTTTGATCACTCCGACCCTTTTGCACCGAAAAACCTTAGTTCGACCCTCTCTAAAGGCCGTCCAAGCAGCGGCTTTTCTTTGATGTAGTTCTGGCCGAATATTGCCTTCGCGTGCTTGCAGTACCCCGAGGTGTTTGTACGAGTCAACGATAGGCAGCGTGGCAGCACCCCCATGCTCCCTGAAAACTTTTATCTCGGGGGTGCCTGTGTACACTGCTCTGCGAGCCGCGCGGGCACCTGTCCCACACAAACTAATGATGGCCGCAGTTTTCCTCGGTCCAAACGTGAGCTCAAGAGAGTGACTGGTGAACGCATCAGCTAGCACACCAGCCTCAAACCCGACGTTGCCCGGCGCAGCGGCCGCATTTTTTGAATCGAGGCAACAGGCAACATCATCTGCCCACACGATGTCTTCAAGACTCACAAGCTTCGTAGCCTCCTCTGCCGGCCCCCAGTGCCGAGCTCCATCCCACCAAACCTGCGCGCAGGAACTCCAACTGGAGCGGCCATCACGGCAAACATTCCTAGCTTGAAGAATACGGCGTATCAACACACCGAAAGTTAAATCGGCCCATGCTGAACCAGGTCTGGTCCCTCGATTGGTGCTCACCACTACATCATCGTTGCGGAGCAGCATCCATGTACCGGAGTTAAGAGTGCATGTCAAGGCACGGAGCCAGGGGTCGGCTCCTTGCTGCGCCATGGCAGACGGCATCGCCAACTGATCCGCAACATCAAGGGGATCAAGGCCACTAATGACCCCGGCAAGAGAATCACCGATAGGCTCGTCGGCTGGTAAACGGGAGGCGAGACAGCGAACAGTGCTGTAATATGCTGCCGACACATCAGCAAATAACACTGCTGAGGTGCGGTTCTCAGCTTTGCGGATACGCATGTACGTACGCATAACATGCGACCCCACCACAACACTGCCTCCGCGTCGGCCTCCCAACTGCATCTGTGGGGCAGTGTCCTCAAAATAGGCCTGAATCCGTGGCCTAAAGGCACGATGCAGGGACTTACACAGGTTCGAGAGTAGAAGAATGCCCCGATACGAAGAGCACTCATTCTGTGCCCCTCGCCCTTTGAATAACCAAGTAAGGGCGCCTCCTTTGAAGCCTACCCTTCTTCCCCCAACAAGCCTAATTTGAGGGCCAGAGGAAAGAGAACCTGTTGAAGCGGGCCAGCACACGCCAGACCGATCTCTCCTGGGAGCGCATCCGGACCGCAAGCTTTGCGGCGCTTGGTCAAAAGAATAGCGTTTCGCAGCTCCACTGGTGATGGCAGATCGGCAACTGACGCTGGGCTGGGCCATTGACCCGTGGAGGACTGCAAAGCGGTGGCGACCAGTTCTTCCTGAGATACATCGCGGCCATCTTCCAGGCCACTGAAGTGTTCCCTCCAGCGCATAGCAGTTTCCTCCGGGGTCTTGCAGATTTCGCCGGCAGTATCCTTGATGCCTGGCAAAACCTCAGGTGCGAAAGGCTTCTTACGCTTCTTAGCCATAAGCGTCTGGACGGCGGCGTAGGCCTCCGGCTTATTGTCTTGGATAGCGTCAGCCAGCCCTGCAAGGTATTGTGCACGGTCGGCCTTGCTCCGCGCACGCAAGGCTTTCGCCATGGCCCCTAGTCTAAAGCCGTAAAGCGCCTCAGCGAAGTGTGCATCACGCAACCAGGCAGAAGTTCCCGGCGACGTATCAGGCCGCCCTTTGGCAACATCATGCCAAGCACCTATGACTCCGGCCAAAGTGCTCCGGCGCAGCGCCGTTTTGACATCAGCAAGCCGGTGACGCAACCACGCAACTTGCCTATGCAGCTCCCAAGCGGTCTCCGAAAGATACGGGTGGACAGGAGTTTTGCGAGCTTTGGGGAAACGCTCTGCCAAGGATCTCTGAAGATAGGCAGTTATTTGGGCCACATGCGCATGGGCACTGACTTCCCATGCCGGTTCGGGAGCCGCCTCTACAATGCGGACTAACTCTGCACGGTTAGCAGGGTCTGACAGGGCTTGCGTATCGATGGCGACGCGAGGCAGCTGCTTACGTCCAGGACCTGCCAAGACTGATATACTCACTTCCGCAACAGTGGCGAGATGGTCTATCACCAAGTTGGCTGCCGTGATGGACGGATCAGTCCACGCCTTTGCACGCCCCTGCCTCCACGCCATGGGAAAAAGCACAAAGTCGGGTCGGGTCAATGCCCCGTTTCGCCGCTGCATGAAAGTCCATGTTGGCCCTTGTTGGACGGAATCCCATGTGGCCGGGGCCCAAAGGTCACATTTGTGCAGAACTGAGTGTAAGAAACACCCTGCATCGTCCTGCTCTTCAGCTCCACAATTAGAGATGCGCACTGATTCTATTGAGCCTACACTAGCATTGCAATCCGCTCCGACGACGAGAAGACCTTCGCGGGATGCTCGATGCAACAGTGCCTCTGTCTCCGCCCACCATGCGGCGAGCTGGGCAGCCTCAGTGCCTCTGTGAGGAGCGTGCAAAGAAACGAAAACAAGTCGGCAGCTGCCCTGCTTGAAGATCACTAGAATTCGCCTGGGATCCTTATGCAAGACTGTGAATGCCGTTGCTTCAAAAGCAACTCGGTCCTCGTCAGCTTCAAAGCTCATTAGCTTAAAGCCCTGTCGGAACCAAAGTTCAACTCCAAAATGACCCTTAACCGACCCCGAGCAGTATCTCAGGAAGCTTCCTGTGGTGATATGGCCTTCCTCTGTGCGTGCTTCCTGAATTGCTGCAACCTGTACCCCTGCCGCTGAAAGCTGACTGGCAAGTAGTGCAGGGCGAGCGGGCCGGTGACCCAGGCCTTCACTTTCTCCAGCCTTCCGATCAGAGGCGAGAGAGAGTGCATTATACGAAGCCATCCGCAAGTGCAGATGGCCGAGCTGTCGGCGTGCAGCAGGACTTGAGGCAGCCGAGACAAAGGGGGCGACGACTTCCTGGGCAGTCATACCGTCAAGATGTCGCCCATGATCTAAAGGATGGCCGAGAGGTGACGGTAATGAGTCATCGCCTTTGGCCCATCTACACACAACACCAGCCCACGACCATAGCAACCCTTGTTGTTGCCACCAGCCCGGGTCGCCATCAAAGGTCCGGTGGACATCTCCAAAGGCATGACCGGCAGCTGCCTCCTTAGCGACAATATCAGCTAACTCGTTACCGATCCAACCCTTATGCCCTGGGACGTACTGGACGAAAG